AATAGGCAAACCTTGTATATAAAAGGCACGCCTCTTTCTGCATCCAAACTGTCTACAGTATTTAAGCCATGGATGTAAGAATGCTTCAAAAGTATTAGCCTAAAAGTATTATGTATTCATAAATAAGCTCTCTGTTTACCAATGGTTATTTCAGACAATCGGAATGCCTTATTGCCAAAGAATGGGAGGGAGCTACAACACTTACTTTGTTAACAGGCTTATTGCTTTATAAGTCAAGAATTTTAGTGATGTGTGCTTTTAATTTTTGTAACAGAGTCCAGTTGGCAACTTTGTGGGAAGCAATGTAGTATAGTGGAAAGAGCACGGGCTTTCAAGTAAGACCTAGGTTCGAATCCCGGCTCCAACACTCACCAGCTGTGTGACCTTGAGTGAGTGAGTTACTCAATTTCCTCACCTGTAAAATGGGGATGATAACATATCTATTTCATAGGACTGTTGTGAGGATTAAATGTATGTAAATACCTGAGTACAGTACCTGGCATGTAGTAGATATTTGGTAATCGTTAGTAATTATTTGTTCAGAATAACTGTATTTTATAGTTTTTCGAATGTAAATATAGTAATTCCCTTTAGAAGATTAAAAAAAAGAATTCTACCATTTGAGTCAAGTGTGAAAGATCTGCATTTTTGTTTCTTGCCTAAGGTTTCTCTGCTAGAATACCGTAAGAGACAACGTGAAGCTCGGAAAAGTGGCTCTAAGTCCGAAAACTTTGCACTGGTCAGTGTATCACCTCATGCAAGTGGCCACATGGGCAACACCAGTGGCGATGGGTGCGCCAACAGCAGTGAGGCTGGGGAGCAAGTCCAAAACCCCGCTAGCCTGCCCTTCCCAACACCAGCTGCAGCTTACGGTGCTGCTTTTGAAGAAACCAGCAATAACTGTCCTGTTAAGGAAGCTACTGCCACGGAGAAGAATGACCCAGAAGCTCAATGGTAAGCCTGTTTGGAAGTCTGCTACTCTGGGAAGTACCAGCTTTGGGTTAATGACCTGTTGTGCTTATTTGCTGGTCAGCTCCCAGGGGTAGGCAGATACTGGTTTGGGGTCCTCATTTTGAAAGCTCTTTGCTGATGGGGTTTAAATAGCTGCTTGTTTTTACTCCTTGATAACTTGTTCACATTTTTCATGCAAGTTGTCTTCTCTAAGCCTCTGTCAGTTACCTTGAAAGAAGGGTGTTTCTTTAGTAGGAACAGAAGCAGCCACAGATAGGCTGGGTCATGTCCACATTGCTCCTTGGGTCCTAAGCTTCCTCCTCCCCTGAGAGCATACAGTTCTGACCCAAGGCCAGTTGTGAGGGGTATAATTAGCACTTTTAATAATCTCAAGTGGCATTTTTTGAAAGTTAATATTCTATGCTATCACCAACTCCTCCCTCCTCCTTTCTCGCCAAGAAACTGGTGGAGAACAAAGGAATCTGACTGAGTTCTTCAGGTCAACGGAAACGTAAAAATCTCAGTTTGGGGAACAGTTAGCAGAACAACAGATTAGCTGATTTCAAAGCTCAACACCCAAGTATTTTCCCAGTAGAGCCAAAGCCTTGGTCTGAGAAGACATGTTGATCAAAGGACAAAGCATATTCTAGCTGGCAGTAGCTTCGTTGAATTGAGCATGCTGTGATTTTATTTTAAAGGACCGCCTCCACTTCAGTAGAACAAGTGAGAGAGAGGAGTTATCAGAGAGCTCTGCTGCTCAGTGATCACCGCAAAGACAAAGACGGCGGTAAGTGCGCTCTTCCCTCAGCAGAGCTGCGTCCGCTCCACTGCACTGCGCTCTCTGCAGCTCTAATGCGCTCTTTGGGTCTGCTCTGCTTCATCTCCAGGGGGCGAATCACCCTGTGTGTCATGTTCACCGAGTCATGTTCAGTCTTCACCTTCATCTCATTCAAATCACATTCCCCAGTTGCAAGCTAAGGGCCTAGTCCCTTCTTTCAGTGAACTTGTGGAAGGTCAGTAAGCAGATGACCGATCATGGTTATTGTTTTAAATACCTTTTTAAATCCAAAAAAGACAGCCTTTGTTAAAAAGCACACTGTACAGTGTTTTCTAGCGCTACTAGAAGGCAGTATTGATCATGTAATTTTACATTTACTGTAGGTTTCTTCTGCTTTACAGATGCTGATCCTGAGAATCCAGAACCCATGACCACAAACGAATGTCTGTCCCCAGATACTTCTCAGATTACTTGTAAAAGCCCTTCCAAAATGAGCAAGGTAACTGCACGGATCTTCTGAGTGCCCGCATTCAGAGTGGTAATACGCAGACAGACTTTTTTTCTGCTATAGCAAGTAGCAATTTGTGAATTCTGGACACTGTTCCTATCAGATATACTCAATTGTGTCTACTGCTTTATTCATTCTGCCACAATGAACTGTGTCTGACAACTGTAATGGAACACTGAAGCTCCTACAAAGCACACCTCAGCAGCTTCCACTTGTCTCTGTGCTGATGGTATCTGGGAAATTCATAGCATTGTCGTGGCCAGCCAGGTAATGCTCTAGACACAGAGGGTCAGAGGACAGCCGTTTAACAGGAGTGCTGTCCACTCTGGGTCATAAGGCTGTGAGCATCTAATATGCCGTGGGTAGCACTGTAAACTATAAATGAAGGATCCAGTATTGAGTTCTTTTCTTTTTTTTAAAGATCACATGCATTTAAATAGTCTTGGATTATTTAATAAGTTTTCAAGGAAAATGATGAAGAGGAATGAAAAATAGAAGTAAAAACATTACCCAACTAAATTTATCCTTAGACTGGGTGTAGAAATTTCAATTATGGAATTGAAACTCTCTAGAAGTTTAAGGTTGTTAGAGTTCTTTTAGAGTGTACAGCTCAAACAGGTTTCACTGCTTTAAGGAAAACAGGCAGATACAACTTCAAGACCATTGTGACTGCTTCCTCATCTTTTCTCCAATAAATCTTACTTGAGAACTTGTTACAGCTACTGAAAAAAGTGACCTTTCAACAACTCAACCCTTTATAAAAATGGACCATTCTCAACCTGTATAGTTTCTTTCTTTAAAAATTCATATTTAAAAACCAACAAGAGTCCAACTCAAGGCACATAAAATGGTTTTTAAGTTTTTGTCATTACATAAAGTTTGTATGATTTGTTTTCTCTTCATAGCCTGGTTCACCGGGACCTGTAACTCCTGCTCATCCACATGGCAAAGTTCTCACGCAGCCAGATCCCCACTGGGAGGCAGCAGCTGTATCGGAAGCTGAGAACAGTGCTCACCTAAAAGCAGAGCTGCAACAGAAACAGCTACCAAGTAACACCCAAGCGCTTTCCAAGAACCCTCCTCCTCAGCCACACCTTCGCAGTTCATCTGAGCAACTCTCACAGAAGCTGCCTTCTGCCCCAACGAAATTGCACTGTCCTCCATCACCCCATATAGAAAATCCTCCCAAGTCGTCTACGCCTCACACCCCTGTCCAGCATGGCTACCTTTCACCAAAGCCGCCTTCCCAGCAGTTAGGATCTCCATACAGGCCTCATCACTCACAGTCACCTCAAGTCGGAACACCTCAGCGAGAGCCTCAGAGGAATTTTTATCCAACAGCACAGAACCTCCAAGCCAGCACTCAGCAGGCAGCTTCAGGAGCGTTATTTACCCAGACCCCCTCAGGACAATCTTCGGCAACGTACAGTCAGTTTAACCCCCAAAGCCTGAACGGCACGGCGCCACCTCCTCCACCCCCTCCGCCTCCTTCTTCTTCGTCTTACTATCAAAACCAGCAGCCCTCTGCAAGCTTCCAGAATTATAATCAGCTCAAAAGTAGTCTTGCCCAACAAACTGTGTTTACATCAGGACCAAATCAAGCACTTCCTGGCACCACAAGCCAGCAAACAGTTCCAGGACACCATGTTACTCCAGGGCACTTTCTGCCCACTCAGAACCCTAGCATTCACCATCAGACGTCTGCTGCTGTAGTCCCACCCCCTCCTCCGCCACCACCTGCTCCAGGACCCCACCTTGTGCAACAGCCCACTTCCCATCAGCAACATTCTGTGGCTCACGTGGGAGGGCCTGTTCATGCCGTCACCCCTGGGTCGCACATTCATTCTCAAACTGCGGGGCACCACTTACCACCACCCCCTCCCCCACCTGGGCCAGCTCCACATCACCACCCACCGCCCCATCCTTCCCCAGGACTTCAAGGTCTACAAGCACAACACCAGCATGTTGTAAATTCGGCCCCGCCCCCACCCCCGCCCCCACCGCCTTCCAGTGTTTTGGCTGCTGGGCATCACACCACGTCAAGTCAAGCCTTACATCACCCACCCCATCAAGGACCTCCACTTTTCCCAGCAAGTGCTCATCCAGCTGTGCCACCGTACCCCTCACAAGCCACACATCATACCACTTTGGGACCGGGACCCCAACACCAGCCTTCTGGAACAGGGCCACACTGTCCACTACCAGTCGCAGGTCCTCATCTCCAGCCCCAAGGACCAAACAGTATTCCAACACCTACTGCTTCAGGGTTCTGTCCTCATCCTGGCTCTGTGGCCCTGCCACATGGGGTTCAAGGACCTCAACAGGCATCTCCAGTACCTGGACAGATTCCAATTCACAGAGCACAGGTGCCACCAACATTTCAGAACAATTACCATGGTTCAGGGTGGCATTAAAATGGACTCCAAAAACATTTTTTAAAATGTTCTGTAAGATAAACTGTATATTTCATATGTACCTGTTAAAGGTACTTTTTAAAGCTTGTACATGAAACTTTGTATAAAAAAGAAAAGAAAAAAACACCAGTGCTCTTTCATTGTATTTTTCTCAGTTTTGCTTTTCAAAATTCCTTTAAAAATGTGCTGTTAAGCCAGTATTAGGATCTTTTATTTTGTAAGTGAACATTCCAGCTATTTTTCTGGCAGTAGGTTTAATGCTACATGATCTTTAAATTTTATTGTTGCAATTAAATTCATTTAGTGAATATTTTCTATATTATTTTATACATGTGCATTAGTACACAGCTAAGTAATGGCACTATGAGGACTTTTTTTTTTTTCTGTCAGCAGTTCTGTGGGTGCATCTTAGGTATAAAAACGCAATACAGATTTTTATAGTTTGGTGTGGACATGGCTCATTTTGTTTTACTGGTTATTTGCAAGCAAAATGTAATTTACTGTACAGACGATTTCTATTGTCTCCTGAAAGACTGTAAATACTGCGTCTCTCCTGCGCATGTAACTGCTTACAGCTTTTCTCCTTTCGTATACAGCATTGTACATATGACAAGTCTTGCAAAACTGTGTGATCTTTGTGAAAGTAGTACAGTACATGACCTTTAATTTCCTTTTTTTTTATTTTAAATATACTGTCACATTGAAGCACTGGTTGGGCATTTTAATTCATGTTAATAAATCACAATTATGTCAGTTTTACCAAATTGTTCTGTACAAGTTCTAAGACTGAGGTCTGTTCAAGTGTTTTTACAAAAGATTCCAAATACAATTTGTAAGGAGCCTTCAATTTTCTTTAGCAACTACTACCTCGGTTGGATGGTAGCTAGAAGCAATAAGATTGTTCCTGTAATGGTTCCTACTTGACATTTTTGCAGGAGCAAGAGCCACAGGAAAACTACTTGGTCATGCTGTGTAAATTTACTAAGAATTTTGACATCAACAAAATTAATCCAGACCATTAACGCATTATACACGATAACAGTGATAGACTGCAATTTACAACTGTTTTGAAATATGAAGAGTTTTGCCTAAAACACAAGAATACAGAAGGGACCTAGTGATTGGAAATGACTTAAAGACCTTAACATTAGCATCTATAGTTTTTTTTAAAAAAATTCGTGGGAAGTTATCTTTCCTTAAATTTGTCTAGGGTGTATAAAATTAAGGAAAAAGGCATTGTTCTTAGCATTCAAGTGAAATGAAAATGACCTCTAAAGTGAGTATTTTATTGCTGAAATAGAAAATGCTAGTTATAGTATTGGAAAAATAAAAAAAAATTCCCAGCCTTTGTCTTCTACCTCTCAGAAGGACTACAGTATATCCAACAGTAATGACTGTCAACAGAGTTTTCATTGGCACAGTATACAAATTTTCTGCATCAAAAAAAAAAAAAAAAAAAAGTAAACTTAAAAATGACTGAATGAGATCTGGTAGTATTTTAAGTTGTGTTTTATACTTTCACTTAATTTCCATTTCCTTTTGAGAATTAGCTAACGACGGTGCACGCACACGGCACAGTAGGGCCCAAATGAGCTTCACATCTTAGAAGAACACTGGTTAAGTGTGCCGTCCTTGCCATGTCACACACAATTCCACTCAGCAATCACTACGGGATGCTCTGACATGTTTGTCTGAAAAGAAATGCCTTCACATCACACATCTGGTAGCTTTTTCAAAATTCACCTCTTTGAGAAGACCAACTTTCTAACAATTTTTAATTGCTCAGTTTTTAATTCTGCTACTACGTACATTAATGTATTCAAAAGCTTTTGTGTAAACTGCAAAATCTTATTTTTTACTCTCAAATGCTGTCACCTACCAAATTTTCTTTAGAATTATTTTTAAATGGGAGGGAAAAGTGGAATTTAAGAAATAATTATCAATACAAGCTGAAGGTCTGTACTCCTGTAAAAAAGTTTCCTTTCTTTATCCTGTATGGTCCAGGTACAGGAAGAAACAAATCAGTTTTCACCTGAAAAGCATCTCTGTCTTCCTGAAGATCGTATACTTTTACTCTGCCTTTGGGTGGCTGCTCTGCCAACTTCCAGCCAGCCAGCCTCCGAATCCACTATAATCACATACATCATCTACAGCTTGTCATTTTCTATGAAGACTTCACATGGACTCAAAAGACACAACACAAGATTCAAATGAAACTGCTCTGAGCTGCAGAGCCATCAGTTCTCAATTAGCTCATATGCATTCCTCATCAACCAACCACCAGACCAGACCTAACACAAATGTGTAGTCCTTCTAGAACAATTGTTCTTACACTGTTGATGAGGCTGTTTTCACCTGAAAGGATGCCCCCTCAAAATTCATAATTAAGCTAGTTTATTTTCCAATGTACGCTAAAACCTGTATTAGAAAAAATTTCATTCAAGTGCACTACTATCCTGGTAAAAATTCTTGCAGACATAGGGAAGACATACATAGTCTGTGGTTCTTGTAAAAATGTTTCCTATGGAAATCGTGGATAGCCTCACTGGTCCACAGCTACCATGTGTCACACAATCTAAAAGGTAACCTAAAGCCTTATTAGACAAACTGTCCATGCACATTACACGGATGGGTGATACACTCTACCTCATGGTGGCATGTGCTAGAGCTAATTCCTTAGAGGATTATGTGTCTTGTTCTCTCATGGTGAATGCTGTTCTTCAAAAACGAAAGTCTGAGATGTTCAAATAGAATGCAGTTACTATGTTTTTGATGAAAGATGAGAAAGGATCACTTGAAATTCTAGGTAATGAACCTATACTGTAGCCATCTTCCCCAGAACACTTCTGCCCATAACAAAACTTCGGTTTTATTCCCTAATGATAAGCCTTAATGCATGTTCTGCACTGTATTTGCTGTGACAGCAATGTTGCTACTTCCTTTAGTTTTGATGCCACTACCCTGGTAGAAAGTCATGATGATTTTATCACTTCAAATATAGGGCAATGATCAAGGCAATGGCTGGAAAAAAAACCAAAACACTTTAATTTTTAAGACAACTGCAAGCACCTCAAACAATGGGTTATTGTTACAACACTTGTTAGCTTTTCACAATCTAGTTATTGCAAAGGCATATGGGTAAAAGTTAATGGACAAAGTCAAGAAAAACGAGGCACCTTAAGAATGTAAAATTTAAAATAAAGAGACATTCACTCCACTGACTTCTAAAAGAGGCTAAACATACCTCATATGTTACATTCTAAAATCGTATTGCCTACTATGGTTTGTGTCCTGGATTCTACAACTGATCTTGAGGAAATGCATAGACACTACTGTGTGCAACCTGCAAAGGGAAAATCATGTTCTCCACTCCGTTCATGGAAAGGCAATGAGCAACCGCGTACAGTTTGTTCTAGCCACAGAATGCGCGTGACCACTGTCACCTCCGAGCTGTGAGGAGCGTTCTGCCCACTGCACTGCAAACTCTAAACCCCATACCTCGTGTGCTAGACAAACACGACCAAGCTTTTCGAAAAAACAGAGGCTTCTTTTTTTTTTTTTCCATTCCACACACCAAACATGTTTCTCTTGTCCAATTTAATCTATGTATTTAACTTAACAGTGTTTGGAGGAGGCAATACCACATAGTACCCAGTCATCACATTTTTAAAGGGAAATCACCCTTTTCCTTTAAAGGTACTTTTAGAAATATGCAAAAAATACAAATGGGACTGCTAAATCATAATGCATATTTTAGAACGAGAAGCATGTCTTTTCCTTCCTTAAGGTGCCATATGGGGAGTGACACCTTGTAAACCAGAGCCACTTCGTTTCGAGTCCAACATGAACGGACTGTTAGGGAATGAAAAGTCTGCACAGCTCCTCGGAGCAGTAAAATCTGCCGCATGCGGCTCAGGCTGTAAAGCACTCGAGACTTGGAGCTGTTCTGCACTTGAGTCCTCGTCCCACACCTGGTGGGAGTTCACATTCACAGAGCGCATTCACATGCACTATCATACAGGAATGACGTCCCTCTGCCAGAATTAGGTAAAATGGTACATTTCCTTGCTATTTCTTGGTTCCAACTTGATAATGTCTTAAGATTGTAAATTATATAGTACTCAGCTAAAATATTTCTTCATAAATAGTTACAAAACCTGCCAAAACACAAAGGAGAAAGTATTTTTCGTTCAAAAAAATGACATTTGAATGTCACACAACACAAGAAACAATGCTTAGAGACATGTTATTGTTTCCAGAAGAGAGTGGTCAGTGAACTACTTAGCTGAAGACAAAAGACTACCCTTCCCCAGGACCACAGTGCACAGAAAGCAAAATGTCAAACAACAGTACCTCAAAGCAAAATAAAGGTCTGAGGATGAAGCCAGCTCACTTGCAATCCTGTTAAAGAATGAGAGTCCCCGTTTAGGTCCAATGCACTGGAAAACATGTGCTAGCACAGAATGCTGGATTTGTAGAATCTGCTAAGAATTCAACCACGGATGCCGAAGGCATTCGCCAGCAGAGGCTCGCTTCTCTGGAACCATTTCTAGCATGGGGATGAGGAAATCTGTGAACTGCGCAGCGTCTTCGTGGGGCCAGCCATACTTTTCCACAAGGACATCAAACAGGCTCCAGGGCTTCAGCTTGGTGATGTGCCGCAGCTCTCCTAGGGGGAAGAACGGCCAGTGTCAAGAGCGCTCCGATCCTGCACTTCCCACACTTGGTCCAGCCACGGGCTTTTCCGGAAGCAGACAACCTGTCTGCTGGACACTTTCTGATAACAACAAAAAAGGTGCCTCCCCGCCCCGCCCCGCTCAATCATCATTAAATGTACCCATGACCAGGTCATGTTTCAAGTAAGCTCAGCAGATGCAAACTGGGGTTAATGGTTCATTCACATCAGAGCTGAGGTGCCTTAAATAAAGAAGGTGTACTGAGCACCCAGACTGTTTTCACGGCCAACCTGGAATCTTGCAATCTGCAAGCACGCTTAGGAAAAGCTGTAGGACGTACACCAGTTGAGTTCCTTGTACCATTATTTCTGCACATCCCTAGTTAAGAGAAAAGGGAGGACCTTCCCTCCAGAACTTTGGGAAATGGACAAGCTGTACTTTTCATCTGTGCTGGCCATGATGGCAGCCACTAGTCACAAGTCGCTAAGTAGCACTTGGAATGCACTGGTGTGACTGGAGTACTAAAGTTGTAATTTTCATTTTCCTACATTGAAATAGTCACACGCAGCTGGAAGCTCCCGTGCCGGATGGCACAGCTTCAGAGGTCAACCCAAATCAAACAGCACTCGTGTACCTGCATTCAATGTCCACCCTGACTCCAGGACATCCATTTGTGAACCCTGAAGTTACACTTCTCAAAATGTAAGGGTTCCAGCAGCTCCGACTTACCAGAAAGACTAACAAACTAAGAAAGCTAAGGGCTTTCTTCGTAACAGGGCCAAAGTCATGTTTCCAGTTGCGGAACAACTCATCACAGGCCACCCCAGCCCCATCCAGGGGGAGGTCTCCTTCGAGTTCCAGGAGTGCGTCCTGAGCCAGGGCTACAGACACAGACGGTACGGGGGAGCCAGGGGCCGAGGCCGCAGCTGCCCCCAGCCAGGCCTCAGCAGGGAGGGAGGAAGCACGTGGGCAGCAGCCCACTTCCCCTGCTGTCGGGTAACCAGCCAGCTCCATCTGTCTCCGTGATAGGCAGAGCAGAGAAGCAGCGCTGTGCCTGCTGGGTCTGGTTCACTCATTTCTTCAGCTCAATTTAGAAATCCACTGCCCTCCCCCTTTAATATCAAAAAAGGACAATCACAGAGGATCCCAGAACAAAAGGGGACATGGCCCACGACCCTGTCAGCACCTGCTGCGCCTCGCCTGAGCACTGTGTGCGCTTACCCACTGCTATGTCCACACCATCCCCCTGCATCTGCACAGGGTTCTGGATAATGAGTGTTTTCTGACGGTTTCTTGTTAACAGGGTTGGAGTATAAAATAAGCTTCCAGCTCCAGCGTAAGCACTGAACCACAGTGGCCAGCGCTGTGGCATAGCAGGTAAAGCTGCCGCCTGCAGTGCCAGGATCCCAGCTGCTCCACTTCCGATTCAGCTCTCTGCTGTGGCCCAGGAAACCAGCGGAAGATGGCCCAAGTCCTTGGGCCCCTGCACCCATGTGGGAGACCTGGAAGCTCCTGGCTCCTCCATTTGGGGAGTGAACCAGCAGATGGAAGTCCTCTCTCTCATTCTCTGCCTGTCTTTCTATAGCTCTGCCGTTCAAATAAATAAATCTTTTTTTAAAAAAAATGGAGCCGCAGTCTGATCTGTGGGTAGGAGGACATGATGTACAGTGGGAGAGGTGGGAGGGCCTCCCTCTCTGCTAAGGGAGAACAAGACCCTCTACGCCAGAATTCCAGGCCCAGAAAATCAGCCTAAGGAGACAGACCCTGGTGCTTCACCCCACGCCCCCTCCTCAAATCCACTCTGTGCAAAATTACAAGTGCTCAGTAACAGGAGAACAGGGTTGAAAGCAAGGCCCATCCACCTGATGAACATTACTGACTGCTGCTTAGCTAGGATGCGCGGCTGGGAGGGAAACAACAGTTGGATCATGTTCCACAGCCAATCATGAGACTGACTTCAAGAGCGCCCAGAGAGGTGGAAAGCAAGCGCCCCGAAGCACCAGCTCCATGAGGGGCTTCTCACAGGTTCCCCATTTCCTGGGGCTATCCTGATCCTCAGCACAGCCATGGTCACAAACCAAGAAAACTCACCTGTGACATGCTGAAACAAGCACTGGTGGCAGAGAAATACCATCTGCCCAGAACAACAACAAACAGTATCTCTGAGGGCAGCAGCTTGTCAACTAAGATCCTTTCTCAAGAATCAAACTCGAATCATCCCTCAGTGCGCTACAGAGGGTTGCTGGCTGCAGGACCCTCCAAGGATACGAATGTGCAGCTGCTCGAGGCCCCTGCTAGAACGCTATTTTATAGCAGGTGTCTGCAGATGGGACCTGCATATACTCTCCCGGATACTGCACCATCTCCAGATTGCTGACAAAACCTAACACAATGTAAAAGCTGTGTGAGCAGCTGACATGATGAAATGATGACAACAACAACAAAAAAAACCCTCTGTACATGTTCAGTACAGATACATTTTTTTTTTTTAAATTCATGATGGCTCTCCAAAGCAACCTTGTCTATTTTAAAGGCAGACAGACATGTCCCATCCACTGATTCATTCCCCAGATGACTACAACAGCTAGAGCTTGATCAACTCAAAGCCAAGAACCAGGAACTCAACCCAGGTCTCCCATATGGGTGCAGGGACCCGAACTACTTGAGCCATCCATCACCTGCTGCCTCCCAGGGTGTGCATTAGCAAGAAGCTGGAAAGCACAGGGTAGCCAGGACTTGACCTCAGGCACTCCGACATGGCATGTGGGTGTCCCAAGTAGAATCTTTTTTTTTTTTTTTTTGACAGGCAGAGTGGACAGTGAGAGAGAGAGACAGAGAGAAAGGTCTTCCTTTGCCGTTGGTTCACCCTCCAATGGCCGCCGCGGCCGGCGCACTGCGCTGATCCGATGGCAGGAGCCAGGAGCCAGGAGCCAGGTGCTTTTCCTGGTCTCCCATGGGGTGCAGGGCCCAAGCACCTGGGCCATCCTCCACTGCACTCCCTGGACACAGCAGAGAGCTGGCCTGGAAGAGGGGCAACCGGGACAGAATCCGGCGCCCCGACCGGGACTAGAACCCGGTGTGCCGGCGCCGCTAGGCGGAGGATTAGCCTAGTGAGCCGCGGCGCCGGCCCCAAGTAGAATCTTAACTGTTGTGCCAAATACCTGTTCCAGATAGAAATTTTTTTGGACTATATTTTTGATCTGCAATTGGCTGTATTTATCCACACAGAATCCAAGAATACAGAGGGTCAACTACACAATCAGACATGAAAAGAGAAGCTGTCCCATGATGGACGACTTCACAGCTGCGTTTTAACAGCCATACTCTAAAGTGATAAAAACATGGGCCAGGAGCGCCACAGGTGCCTCAGACACTTCTGACTAGGTAAGCCCGCACAGCAGAACCACGTGCAAAGGGGCAGTCTGCAGCAGCAGAACACGCGACAGGCAGGGTAACCGTCAACACTCACAGCTCCTGAACACCCGGAACACTCAACTGTCCCTAAAAATATGTGGATTACGTAGACATGTGGACAACTCTGTAAGTAAAAACAGGCAGAGACACACACATAGACCCTAGAATTTTATGTACAAATCTTCACACTCAATCTAAGAAAAAAGGTTGGGGCCAGTGCTGTGGCCCAATGGGTTAAACCACTCTCCGCAACCATAGCATCCCCTACCCAAGTGCTGGTTCCAGACCTGGCTGCTCATTTCTGATCCAGCTCCCTGTTAATACGACTGGGAAAGCAATGGAGGTGTGGCCTGAATGCTTGGGCTCCCGCCACACACATAGGAGACCTGGATGGAGTTCCCAGTTCCTGGCTTCAGCCTGGCTCACCCAGCCTTGCCCACGGTGCCCATTCTGGGAGTGAACCAATTTATGTGATCTCTCCCCCACTCTCCTACCCAGCCCTTCTCTGTTGCTCTGCCTTTCAAATAAAAGTAAATAAAATTTTTAATGCTATCCTATAAATATCAGGGTTCTTCAAAAAGTTCATGGAAAACCGGAATTAAAAGACAAGCTTATTTTGGTGCAAGAAAATTTTGAAACGCACGCACAGTTTTTTCATAACATGCTGCTATGGTTTTAGAGACGTGTGTGGATGCCCAATGTTCCACAGGAAGCCCATGTGTTAAAGGCTGGGCTCCCAAAGTCTCGGGTTAACAGCACCAAGTGGGTGGAAACTTCACCCAGTTCCAGTGCTCTGGGGTGCAATGAGACTGGATGAGGGGGTTAGGAAGAAGCCCCACAACCAAACCAAATGATGGTGGCATTCCGGGGAGCAGCACAGACATGCACCGTCTCTCTGGCCACATCATGCCCTGCACAGCCTCAGGACTGGAAGGCCAAGGGCCACCACCAGCGCTGCGTGAGCAGGGCCACCTGAGCTCGGCCTGCAGCCCCCAGAACTGAGAGCCACAGCAAGCCTCCGTCCTTCCCAAGTCTGCTGTCTAGTGAGCGGCTGACTAACACATACACTTTCATGATGGCTGCAAAGATTCCTGGTGTGCATGGATTTCAATTATTTTGCACCAAAATAAATTTACTTTTTTTTTTTTTTTTTTTTTTTTATTTTTACAGGCAGAGTGGATAGTGAGAGAGAGAGAGACAGAGAGAAAGGTCTTCCTTTGCCGTTGGTTCACCCTCCAATGGCCGGCGCGGCCGGCGCACCGCGCTGATCCGATGGCAGGAGCCAGGAGCCAGGTGCTTTTCCTGGTCTCCCATGGGGTGCATGGCCCAAGGACTTGGGCCACCCTCCACTGCACTCCCTGGCCACAGCAGAGGGCTGGCCTGGAAGAGGGGCAACCGGGACAGAATCCGGCGCCCTGACTGGGACTAGAACCCGGTGTGCCGGCGCCGCTAGGCGGAGGATTAGCCTAGTGAGCCGCGGCCCCGGCCCTAAATTTACCTTTAATTCCATTTTCCTCAAATTTCTGAAGTGCCCTCATAGTTGATAAGGTTACTACTTGCTCCTACTCTAAAATCAGCT